CCACTCACCCACCTATCCATCCATCCATCCATCCATCCATCCATCCATCCACCCACCCATCCATCAGTTTATCTACTGAATTCATACTTATAAAACACCTTACTCCAGATTAAGGAGGGAAGCACACCTACCATGTACCCAATATTCTAACCTCTGCTGGCAGCAAGAAGCAATAGAATCTAGTGGTGAAGAGCTGAGACTCTGGAGTCCAAAAGCTGGGATTTCACCTCAGCTCTCCCGTGTGACTTAGGGAGAGACTTTGTTTTCTAAGTACCCCATAGTACGCAGCTGGGGAGAGTGCCAGGCAAGGTGTCCAGCCCTTCCTTAGTCATAGCCCAATTGCTTCTCTCCCTTGGCTGTTGACCTTTGAGCAGGTGATACAGAAATGGGAAGAAAAATCCTTGGCATTCATAGACCCCAGTGGTGGAACCTAGTAAATGAGGTCAAGTGCTTTATGCTGCCTTGGTTTCTGTGTTGGTTTCTATTATACTCTCCCAAATTCTTTGTAGGCCCTATTCTCTAAAAACCCATTTAATTTCTGAATTCTCTGATTTTGTTAACAAAATGTCTTGCTTAAGCCAACTAATTTTGGCTTTGTGTTGTTTAATACCCCTAGAATCTGCTGAAAGGATTAAATGAGATAAGGCATTTAAAGAGATTATCTCAAAACCTAATTCAGTGTAAATGATCGATAAGTGTTAGCATTTATTATTATTAGTTATCAATTCCTCACTATATACCAGAATATTTCTTAGATTATATACTTTAATCTTCAAATAAACTTTTTAAAGAAGAATTCAGAGAGATGAAAGAATATGCATAAAGTCTCGCAGGCCGTACGTGCAGGTCCTCACTTCATTCACCTCTCTGCTTAAATGTCACCCTTCATAGGAGCCTCCCAGGCCACTCGGTGTAACAGGATGGTGCCAGGCGCACTTCTCTCACCCCCTCTCTTCCTTCTTCCCAGGGTGTGTCACCACCTAACACTGTGTTGTCACCATCTAACACTGTGTTGTCACCACCTGACGCTGTGTTGTCCATGTGATTGTCCCCTGTGTATGGCTCATCTGCCTGCAGAGGCTGGAAGGTCTGATGGCCTTGCTCTCTGCTATGTCTCCAGCACTCAGAATGGTGCCTGGAAAATAGCCGATGCTTAATAAATATTTGTTCAATGAGTGAATGAATTACTGATTGGATGGAGGTTCGATGAAACCCCAATCGTTGGCATTGTCTGTTTAGTGTCTTGGGCAGTACACAGACCAAGGTGGTGTGGCTCCAGACGTCAGTGAGCTCACAATCTAGAGTAAGGATTAAAACACTGACTAAGCCATTCGGAGAAAGACAAGCACCATGGGATTTCACTCATCTGTGGGATCTAGTGAACAAACTGAACTAACAAGCAAACCAGAGGCAGGCTCATAGACAGAGAGCAGGCTGATGGCTCTCAGGAGTGTGGACGGGTGGGGAGAGGCAGGGGGCATGGAGGGATTGAGTGAAAACAAAAAACAAAAAAGAGAGGGGAAATAGCTCACAAAAAACAGGAGCACAACTCACACTACTGAAGAGGGCCATTAAACCAGGCTTGGAAAATATTTCCTCTGGTTCAGAAAAGATAGAGATCAGTTCTGCATCCAGGGATGGTAGATGGCTTTTGAGAAAGAAGAGATTTCAAGGTGGGTCTTGAAGGATGAGAAAGGTTTGGAAGCTGGAAAGAGGGAGAAGGTAAGAGTAGAGAGGGGAAGGAGGGACGAGAAACTGATTTCCATCAGCTGGCGCGTGGAGGGGGTGGGGAACCCTGCACCCGAGGGGGAGCCAGGCATGGGTAAGGAGGTCTTTACACTTCATCGTGGGGCAGTACTTTTAAATCATTAGATACACTGAAATTGTGCGACTACTGTGTGCTGAGAACTGAGACATAGTGATAAATAAAACCAGCGATGGCCTTGCCCTCTTACAGGCACTATTTCAAAGGGAAAGAAAATGAATAAATTATATCTTATATAAGTGTACATTATATATTATATAATGGTGTGCTATAAAAAATAAAGCAGCATTAGAGGTAAACATGGGGCTGGGGAGCTCCCCATGAGGTGATCAAGGAAGACTGCCCAGAGCAGGTGACACTTAAGCAGAGATCTGAATGAAGTGAGGGGTTAAGCCATGCAAATATCTAGGGCTGCCCTGTCCAGCGTGGTAGCCACGAGTCACCCACGGCCATTGAGCCCAATAACCTTGAAATGCAGATAGCCTAGACTGAGATGTATGGGAAATGTAAAATATATACTAAAGACTTGGCATCAAGAAAGAATGTAAAATATCTTATTAATAGTTTGTTGAGTTTCTGACCCCGCCACACCCTGAGCCCCGGAATATTCTCCTGGCTCTCTGGTTCTGTCGTGGGCTTCCAAAGCAGTTGTGGAGAGGAGAGCACCCTCACGGTGTGATTGCGAACCGGCTGGCTGGTCCCACCGAGAAAGAAACTCTCGCCGTAGCTCATATTGTACATCTTCCCCTTTTCCTTCCTCCCTCTATCCCTCTCTCTTTTCCTATTTCTCTGACTCTTTTTTTTTTTTTTAAGTCTCTTTTCTTTTCATCCTTTGGAGAAACCTATGACTACATTCAGAAGCCTGAAGCCCACTTAGAAAGTTTCTTTCTGTTAAGAGACAAAAAAACCTCTTCCTGAGATCGAAAGGGGCAAAGTGATTGCTGGAAGCTGAGTGTCCAGACCACCAGCAGAAAGAAATGACAGGAGGCAGCCTTCTTACAAGTCTACACTGAAATAGATATTATTATAATTCTTTTATAGACATGAGAACTAATCTCAGAGAGGTTTAATAACTCCTTCAAGGTCACACAGCCCAGAAGCCTAAGAACAGCGGTTTTCAGCAGGTCTCTGACCTACAGTCTGAAATGGGACTTAAACCATGAAGTATCTGGTCCCTGCGGCTTCTCACCTCTTTAAAGTAATTTGACTCCTTTTTGGAAATGAAAGTAACCAGGGTCCACAGCGGGGAGTTCTGAGCAGAGAGGAGTTTTTCAGAAGCGAGACAAAGCGCACAGGAGGTGAAGTGACCCCAGACACATACATACCTGCACGCAAGGGTCCCAGCTCTCGGGCCTCAGGCAGGAGAGGAAGGCCATGGCTGGGATCAGAGTCCCAGCCAGGCGGCTGAGCGGCATTATCCCGGCATCGTCTGCGACCAGAGCCGGCCCTGTGAGAGCAGGTGGCACTGCAGCGTCTCCCCTGGCAGCCTGCAGGCCCGGCCTCCCTGCCTCCCGGCGCCCCAGGCGGCTCCTGTATTCAAAGCAGCGCTGGGCCGGGGCAAGAGGAAGTGAGAGTGGCAATCTTAGCATTCTGGGCTTTTGTTCCTCTAACGTTTATCTCCCCTGTCTCAGGAGGGGAAGTTAGAAAAGAAAACGTCTGCAGACCAATGGCTGGAGTCACAGCAAGAGGAAGCTGGCTCTTATCCCAGGAAGTCATCTGACCTCAGCGTTAGTGAACTTGGGACACTATCCAGACTGGCCAATGGGTCCCTGTAACTCTCTAGGACCGAGGCTTTCCTATAATGTTTTAGTGGGGGAAACTTCCAATCTATGTCAGTTTCCTAGGGCCACCCTATCAAAGTGTCACAAGCTAGGTGGCTTGAACAACAGGAATTTATTTTTTTTCCACAAAATTCTAGCAGCGAGCAGCCTGAGATCAAGGTGTCAGCAGGGTTG